CTGGACGTGGATTCTTTGGTCACTTGGAAGCCATACTCGATACGCTTTCGATATTTCGGAGCATCCGATGAAGATATCGTTTAAGTTTCGTGCTTCAAATTTTCCCTTGTTGGGGGACTTGTTCAAAATAAATGTTTTGCATCCGAAAATCCTTAAGTAGTGTATTTGAACATTTTTCGAAGGGAGTTCCGAAGTCCAAATTCTTGGTGATTCAACGATTTCTAATATAGTTCGCTGTTGCAATGGCTTCTGCTAAAAAAAAAGGTGGCAACTCAGATTGGATCATCATGCATCTTGCTGTTTCAATCAGGTTTTTGCGCTCGGCATTCTATTTAGATATGTGAGTTATCATCAGACGACGACGAATTCCATAGTCTTTGAACAATTTATCTATCTCGGAGTTGCAGTATTCCTTACCGTTATCGGTTTAGACGGCTTTAATCTTTCGTCCAGTTTGATTTTCAGCCATCTTGTTAAATTCTTGAAATTTTTCACTTCGTTTTTATTTCGCATAAAATACTATTCGGTATCCCTATGATCCACGATGTCTAGTCATATCGCCTAATTGCATCGATGAACCCACGAGATGTCGATTGCTCAATTATGCGTCACGCGTAATCGATCGAAAAATATCAGATCATCTCGGCTGCTCTAACTGTCGAGTCGACAGCACGCGTCTCGTCTCGCGAAAAGGTTATCGCCGCGCTACCGCTAAGATCCTTCTGTATCCGCTATGAAACACGTTCTCCCGCGTTCGAGGCTTATTTAATAAAATTTGGAAAGCAGAGAAGATTTCATTTTTCTCGACCGAGTGCCCTCGAAGTAGTAATTCCGCGGGAAACGCTCGGACGGTAATCGCCTGGCCACGCCATTACGATCTCTTCGTGTGCTCAGCGAAATCGCCAACATTCCTTTGATCTTTTGAGCCGGATACTGTCAAGTATTTGGCTTCAGTGAAATGGCGAGCAGCAATTTGACAGTCAATTAAGGATACCACATCGAGACAAGAAAGGCATCGCAGTAGCAACGATCAGTGCAAGCGTCGCATCAGTGGCAGCACACAATTCATAAAGCAGTCGCAAGGCTCGCGTCTAAGCATCAGAAACGCAGCCCGGCTCATATTACGTCGTATCCTGATGAAGAATCAACATTTTACGAGCGGAATCCTGCCGACAGCGGAAAACAAGGCCCAATCCAGACGACGTGCAAGGGAAGTCATCCCTCAACGGCGCACCATCTGCGAGAGGAACATTTCCGTCTAACAACGTTCGACTGGAAGGCATCTAGCATCTATTGCATCCTCTCCTAGGATTAATTGCGTGCGTAATAAAATAAGGAAGACCATTGTCTCCGTTGCTAACCAAGTTTTCTCCCCCGCGTCCGTTGCGTGTATGCGTACGCATTTACATTCAAGATAGTCGACCAACTAGAAGCGCCGATACTTAAGCGATAGCGCGCGACCATAAAGACATCATGTACGCGTATCAGAACTTATGTAGAGTCAATCGCCGCCATTAGCCCGTCAATAGTGGCTCAACTCGAAGAGCGGAAAGCGAAACTCGAGCAATATTGAGCGGAATATAACGATGTGCATCTAGAATTGCGTCTAGAATCATTAGATGAGTCCGAAAGCTGCGAACGAGACGGCTTCGAGGAAGTGTTCTGTGCGTTATCTGGTAGAATCCGCTCATTTCCCCTTCGCCGATATTGAGCATCCATCTTTTCTCCGTTCTCCTCAAGTGTTCGCGAATCAGATAATAGTATGCACATTCGGTTGCCTAAGCTAAATTTGCCGACATTTTCCGGCAAGTACGATGAATGGTTCCCGTTTTTCGATACATTCAACTCGGTTATCCATTCCAACGCCTCGCTCTCAAATACGCAAAGATTTCAGTATCTACGAGCGTCACTCACCGGCTATGCAAGCGCTGTAGTCAGTTCATTGGAATTGTCAGACGCTAGTTACGATGTCGCATGGTCAATTCTCAGGGAGCGATATGACAACAAGCGTGTGATTGTTCAAATTCACGTCAGTGCTATATTCGACTATGACAAGGAAAAATGCAGTCAAGCTCAGATGATTCTCTGATACCGCCACAAAATATTTACATGCCCTTCAGGCATTGAAGCGTCTCACGATGCATTGGGATGATCTTCTCGTTCATCTTCTAAAAATCTCTCAAAACTTGACTTACTCACGTTACGTGAGTGACGAACCTCATTAGTGGGCAACGAGCTGCCATCGCTTAAGCAGCTGTTAGATATTATCGCTTATCGATATCAGGTGCTCGAGTCTATCACAAGAGCTGGCTCTATTTCCGCAAGGAAGATCGAGGCAAAATCGCAGCCAAATGCTAAACGTGTCACCGTTAAACTTAAATGCAGCTTCTGTCAAGGAGAACACGTCATTTATTATTGCAAAAATTTCGTGGCACTTCCAGTATCACAAAGAGTCGCAGAAATTCGCAGTCGCAAACTCTGCGTCAATTGCTTGCGCTCCTCTTCTCATGCATCAAGCAAATGCACTTCCGGTTAATGCAAGGTCTGCCAGGCAAGACACAATATGCTGTTTCATATGTCCTCAGCCGCGGACCCATTGACTTAACAATACCGATAAGGAAGTTGCACCTAATGCAATTCTTCCCCCCTCCTTTCTAGCGAATTATGCCTCAGAATCATCAAATAACGAAGAAGCCATGCTTTCGACTGCGGTTGTGCTCGTCTGCGACAGCGACGGCTCGCGCAGGGCGTGTTGAGTTTTGTTGAATTGCGGATCGCAAACCAACTTCACAATCAAGAAATTTGTGGAAGCTCTCGGTTTGGAAACGTCTATTAAATGTCTCGATCTCCGGCGTCAATGGCACGATAACTTCGTCCAATTACGTGGTTAGGATCAAATTACAATCGTGACTCAACTCATACACCGCGGCTATCGAATGCATCGTTACTAATCAGGTTACTGATAAAATTCCGGCGGTTTCTTCGGCGTGGGACAAATTTAATTTTCCGCGCAACATTCGTTTAGATCCGCGATTTCACATATGTCGGACGTTGATCTTTTAATCGGAGTGGACTTGTTTTGGAATCTGATATGCGTCCGTCAGGTCAAATCTTCAGACAAGCATCCAATTCTCCAAAAAACGCGACTAGGCTGGATTTTGGCGGATTGTTTGGACGGCACCATATCAACCGCCTCAAAGGTCTGCTCGTTCCACGCGTCCGTAACTAATGCGGAATTACACGAACATGTCAGTCATGCCTGGCAAATGGACGACATCCCCACGCAATCGCACAATTACATGATGGAGGAAAACATTTGCGAGCGTCACTTTTTAGACAACGTGTCTCAGAACTCTCAAGATATATCGTCAAGCTTCTAATTAAAGAACAAATATTAAATAACATTAACGATTCGCATGAGTCTGCTCTCAAGCGATTGAAGGGCATCGAGAGACGTTTCAAGCGCGACCCTATACTTAAATTTCAATACGCGGCGTTTCTCGATAAATATGTATCGCTAGGGCATGTGCGATGCGTAGAGTCGCCCACTGCGGAAGAAACAATATCGTTTTATCTTCCATACCACTGCGTCTTCAAAACGCTTAAGCAAGCATCGAAAATCCGTGTTGTATTTGATGCATCTTGCCACAGCAGTTCCGGCATATCGTTAAACGACGCGCTTCAGTGGGACCGACTGTTCAACAAGATTTGATGTCAATTCTAATGCGCTTCCGTTTTTTCACTTATGTTATCATCGCTGATCATCATAAAAATGTATCGGCAAGTCTTAGTACATCCGTCTCAGATGTGCCTGCAGAGAATTCTCTGACGTAACGACCGCTCTGCTAACGTCGATACGAACTCATTATCGTCACTTACGGTACAGCTTCCGCGTCATTCTTGGCCACCAGATGCCTCAAGCATTTGACCGAGCAGCACGCTCATCAATTCACTCGCGGTTCAGCATGCGTCCTTCGAGATTTTTATGTCGATGACATGCTCACCGGAGCGGATACAATCGAATTAAAATTTGCGATGAAACTATTCAACTATTAAAATTAGGAGCATTCGAGTTAAGCAAATGGGCCTCGAATTGCCCTGAACTATTACAAATAGACAATCGTGACCGTATGCCAATTAATCCGTCATCGGAGATAACGTCACGGACTCATGTATTTTGGGCATGCAATGGAATCAATGCCAAGATACGTTTCAATTTCTCTGCAAACTTGATGCAGAACCTCACGTTGTATCAAAACGAATCATACTTTCCGAGGTCGTTAAATTGTTCAATCCTCTGGTCTTTCTGAGTCCAATCATTGTGATCGCAAAACTCATCTTGCAAGATTTGTGGCAATTGGTTATTCAATGGAACGAATCTATTCCTCAGGACATCCACACTCGTTGGATTGCTCTCAGAACGTAGATGAACAATTTGAATCAATTAAAAATTTCTTGATGTGTTAAATTCGATGTTCATCAACCAATCGTGGAAGTGCACGGATTTTGCGATGCCAGCCAATGCGCGTTCGGAGCTTGCATATACCTTCGCACCAAGCTCGGTCTCAACGACCATCGTTCCAAGTTGCTGTACTCAAAAAGTGTCTCGCGTCGCGCTGCTCAAAACCGTCTCGTTACCGCTATTAGAGCTATCGGCCGTTTTATTATTGGCGCGCTTAATCAACAAGATTAGAGAGTCTTTGGAACTCTCGCAATGCTCGACTTATCTATGGTCGGACTCAACGATCGCATTAAACTGAATAACCTCCCCCTCGCGGCGGTGGTCAGTCTTTGTGGCAAATAGGGTGGGTGAAATTCAGCGCCTAACAGAAGTTGAATGCTGGCGCCATATCGCATCCCCCGACAACCCTGCCGACACATTGTCGCGTGGGATAAATTCCCATGACTTAATCGATGCGGAGAGGTGATGGAATGGCTCCGAATTAAACTAAAATGGAATGAAAAACATTGGCCGCCCACTGTCTTCCCGCATTTAGACAATGATCTTCCCGAACAAGGGAAAATCGCGTCAGCGCGACGCGAGACACTTTGAGCACAGCAACTTGGAGCGATGGTCGTTGAGACCGAGCTTGGTGCGAAGGTATATGCAAGCTCCGAACACGCGTTGGCTGGCATCGCAAAATCCGTGCACTTCCACAATTGGTTGATGAACATCGAATTTAACACATCAAGAAAGCCGTTTCCACTTTCCATCCCTGCATCATTGACGACTTATTAAACAAGTGTTCCAATTTAAACAAAATATGCCGCATCATAGTGTATTGTTTAAGATTATCCAAGGCTCACCGGGAGCACAGAATATTTACTTTCGTGTCCTCCGCTGAAATATCTACCGCCTTAGATTGTATTTGCAGAACAATGCAACAGCGAGCGTTTTATCGCGAATATGAAGCATTAGTCAAGAACGAAATTGTGAATACTTCTAGTAATATCTTATCGCTATCTCCATTCTTGGAGATGAAAGCGGACTAATGCGAGTTGGCGGGAGATTAAAAAATTCGAATCTCGCGTTCAATCCAATTCTCCTGCCACGCAAATACATATTGACCCAATATTATAGAGCGTGAACACACTCGAAACTTACACGCGGGTTTGCAAGCCATGATGGCTTTCGTGCACTAACGCTTTTGGTTGCTATCATTGTGATCCGTGCGATACGTGGAATAATATAAAAATGTGTAACCTGTTTTAAGGCCAAACCTAATCAATCAGAAGCCTTAATGGGCTACCTGCCAGTCGAGTTAACGTATCTATCTTTCTCTCGCTGCGTCATAGACTATGCCGGGCCGCTCTTGTTACATGAGGAAAGGCGTCGAAACGCGCGAAATCACAAAGCGTACGTTTTGCTTTTTGGGTGCTTCTCCACGAAGGCGGTCCATCTAGAGTTAGTAAGTGATCTTACATCCGAAGCCTTTATTGCCGCTTTCAAGCAATTCGCGTAGGGGTAGACCCGCGCACATATATTCAGACAACGGGACCACCTTCGTGTGCACGCATAAACAAATTCAAGAATTATACATGTACAATGATCCACAAGTCCAGTTCGAGAAAATCAAAAATTTTCTTCGCAAATTAAAAATCTCTTGGAGCTTCATTCCGCCTAATGCACCTCATTTTGGAGATTTATGGGAGGCAGCCGTAAAATCTACAAAATATCACATGACTCGGATCGTGGGCAAGGCTCATTTGATCTTTGAGGAAATGCAAACGACCCTCTGTGAAATTGAGGCGATCCTCAATTCGCGTCCCCTATTACCATTAAGCGCCGACCCTAACGACCTAGCGTATCTAAGTCCGAGACATTTCTTGGTTGGCACGACTTTAAATGGTCTTGCGTTGACTTGAACGATGTCAACGAAAATAGACTACTACGGTGGCAACGCGTAGAGCAAATGTGGCAGCATTTTTGGCGCAGATGGAGTAATGAATATCTTCATTCTCTACAAGCCCGAACCAAATGGATGGCTAGCAAGAGAACTCAGCTGTCAACTAATCAACTCGTGCTCATAAGGCAGCCGAACCTAGCTCCGCTTCAGTGGGCAATGGGACGAGTCCTGGAGGTTCATCCTGATCGACGGCATTGCTCGTATCGCAACTATCAAGACTGCCAAGGGTTCTTACTTGAGGCCACTGTCTAAACTATCAATATTACCAATTTAAATCTAGTCGATACCTTACCAAACATTTAGTTCTAAGTGTCTTTAGCTATTACATTCTGATTATATCGCATCTTACGCAGGCCTCCTTTACGTTCATTAAGAATGTCTTATTATATTATTTTTTTTCTTTTTCACTTATTATATCGCTTGCATACTTAGATATTAATACACGTTGATTTTCAGTGCAATGACTAAATGTGACATCAAATCGTATCAGAGTAATTCGCGTTTCATGTTATGCCAACGAACTGCTTGTATGTCATGTTGAAAGTCAATCCTTTCAAGGCAGGCGGCGTGTTATCCCTATGGTTCACGACGTCTAATCATATCGCCTAATCGCATTGATGAAAAATCGATGAACCCACGAGATGTTGATTGCTCAACTACGCATGCGTCACGCGTAATCGATCGAAAAATATCAGATCATTTCGGCTGCTGTAACTGTCGGGTCGACAGCACTTGTCTCGTCTCGCGAAAAGGTTATCGCCGCGCTACCGCTAAGATCCTTCCATATCCGCTGTGAAACATGTTCGCCCGCGCTCGAGGCTTATTTAATAAAATTTGGAAAGCAGAGAAGATTTCATTTTTCTCGACCGTGTGCCCTCGAAGTAATAATTTCGCGGGAAACGCTCGGACGATGACGGCCACGCCATTACGATCTCTTCGTGCGCTCAGCGAGATCGCCAACAAATACACTTCGCACCAAATGATTATGATCATCTATAAAGGTAACAAAGTATTGTGCACCGCTTTCCGATCTGGTTCGCATCGCCCCACACATGTCTGTGTATGATATCCAGTATACCGGATGCTCTCTGATTTCCGGTTGGGAAAGAGGAGCTTGACATTTTCTTGCTGTACACGTTTTGTAATCAATTGGAGTGAGTTTCGCGTTGAGTTATATCGTGAGCAGTTTGTGTCTTCCACATGGAGGTAACGTCCTTGATATTGAGACATCAACGATGCCATGTCTTTGTTAGCGATTGTTCATTTGTTTTTAGCTGCGCATGTTTCTTGAGGTGACTCTTCTGAAAGATAAAAAGATCGTTAATGCATTCGGCTATTATTTTCACGTTATCTCGAAGATTCTTGACTATTGCGCGATCCTTAATGAATAGGACTTCATGCTGATTATCGACTATCTTGGCTACAGACAGAAGATTTATCCTTAAATCGGGAACGTACAAAGTATTCTTAAGCTTTATATTTGTTTCTTTACCATTGAGGTCTTCACTTTGTTATCTCCAGTTGCTTCTACCATATTTTAGTAGAGGTGCTATTAGCAATTTTAATCCACCTGAGATCTCTGTGGTGCTAAGAAGATGAAAGATTGCTTATCAGTAAGTGAACCGTTGAACCACAAACACCATCTTTTGAATTCGTCGTGGTGATTTATCGATAGTGTTGTCTCGCTTGCTTGGTCTTTTTGTTTGTGTTTGTTTTTCTCCAGAAAAGCAAACACTTTTGTGCAGTCTTATGTCCGAATTTCCTGTAATAATTGCATTTTATTTGTTCACGATGGATGTTCACGATGTTACATGATTTAGTTTTAGATGCATCATGTGGTTTATTTTACTGCTTCACGAGCAAGGCATTAGATGATCGGGCAATTTTTGTTTTCTGGCCTTCGCTTTCTTCAAGTATCTTAATTTTTAAAGTTTCAGCATCCGGTAGTTCGTCGCGTGACTCTATTGCGCATCGAAAGGAATCGAAACTACTTGGAAGGCTGAATAATAATCGCGAGCATGTTGCCATTGACTTCCCAGATAACATTTATTGACGTCTTTTAGATATCTTATGCAATAACATAAATGTTATCTGGATTCTACATTCATTGATTGTAATTTGTCAACGGCATCGAAGAGATCATTTAAATGATTCTTTACATCGTTAATATCTTCGGCCATTTTATGTAACGTAATGCTTCAAGAGAGTTGCCTTATGGGCAAGCCTATTAGATGCGTAAATTGACTCTAATTTATCCCAAATGTCTTTAAAAGTTTCACAACTCTTGACTTATTTTAATTCGATGGATTAATAGACAATATAAAGTCTGACTTTACGATCCTCAATAATCCATGCGTCGTATGTTACTTACGAAGCTCATGTCGTTGGATCTATTGAAACAACAGATCATGATATTTCTCCAGAAACGTAACCCTATGTGTTTTTTACTAATAAGGCCTCTACCTGAATTCTCCATATATTGTAGTTGTCTCTGGATTTAGTATTTCAAGGCAAGTAGAATTTATGGTATTATATGCCATGACATTCGTTCGTATGTATGAGGTTGACTTGCGTGTTAATATTGTTCGGCACTAAAATCTTATACAACGTAAAATATCTCGTCTTACGCACTCGTGATTAATGTCGAGAACTTGAAAGTCTTTTGGAAAACTGGCCCATAATCTGTTAGAATGCGGTTGGACAGGATAAGTAACTCGAACGCTTTAATCCAAGATACAAATTTATTAAACAGCAGGTAAAATGTAACAGACGTAATAGTATCATAGGTGAGTACTGTGACTTTATGTTAATATATAAAAGAAAATTCTCGGCAATGCTTGATAGCAACATGTAATGAGTAGTTAAGTTGAGCAATGGATAAAAAAATAAAAGAAGGAGGATAGCAAACGCTGGTGGAAATGATAATCTAGAGACTATCGATAAATGGCTGGTTATCGATTAATCGATAGATTATGAATAGCAGGAAATTGAATTCCCAAAATTTTATTATTTCGTTTATGCAAATTTATATTTATTTTTTAATAGTAAAACAATATCTAAAAATCTGTTGTGAAAGAAAATTTATTAATTATCTGAAGTCAGTTTTATCAGATTTAAATGCTTTTATAATAACATTTATTGGTATAAATAAGGTTTCTTATACTCTTGGTCCAAATATATCATTAATTTCTTTTAATATAAATAAAGGTGACAGCAAATTTCCATTACATACGATATTATTGGTTGTATGATGTATGAGTATGTTGATATAGATTGTGAATAGAATGATCATATCAAATATAAAATGATCATAACTCTGGCTGGTGCTATGAACATTCAACTCGGTTTTGATTTCTTTCGGCATTAAACTTTTCATATATAGATGTTTGATCACTGCACGAAACTCGTTTTTTTTCATTTTGCAAAAATGGAAAAAAGTTGTTCGCTTTAATCGTCTACAGAAATGAAACCAAGTAAATTTCGCTCAAAATTTGACAGTAATCAGCTGAGAGATGCTACTTGTCAAAAAATAATATTGAGACATGACACTGCGAGTGCCCTCTGACAGATTTTCTAAGAACTTATTGACTTGCCCTCGTATATTTATATAAGGTTTGAAACAATTTGTAGCAACATAATTGCCGAATCACCGACAAGATACTATTATAGACCGTCGGCCCTTATGGAAGTTCGTAATGGAATACCTATTAAAATTTAAGAGTAACAAATTAATAATACTAATTTCATGACTTATTAATTTCGTAGACATGTATAATACTTAATTTTTATTTAAAACTGTGATTTTAATATTATCATCCGAGTCTGATTACCAATAGAGATGATAACTGCAGAGAAAAAAATTGTAATTTCCCGGCAATATATAAGATATTATAGCATTAAAAGAATGCTTACTCATTTATACAGTATTTATGTAATAAAAATAAAGTTCACGAATTTAATAATGTATGATCGAAATATTTATGATTAATCATAAATTTTTATTAATTGTTGGTAACCTCATCGTTCTTCAATTATCTCTGGTCTCTCGGGCCTCATTAATAGTCATAATAATTGCTTAGGGCCAACGTCTTTAATAGTATCTTATCGGTGCCGCAATTTCTGAGGAAATAACATATTTTTTATGCAATATTATCGTTTGTTGTTTGGCAATAATATTAAGTAAGTAATATGTATACCTCTGTGCCCCATGTACACCCAGATAGCCAAGTCTATAGAAAGCAGATTTTTTTAAATATCTGCTACACAGTATGCCAACAGAATTGGTACAGAATTAAATGTACTATTGACAGACTGCTAAAAAAAAAAGTAACAGAATCGGCGGGATCTGCTCAATTTCTGTCAACAATTTGCCTTCACATTATGTCGACAGGCAATGTTAATAGAATACAAGCCTAATGCGGACGCAGTTGATGGCAGATTGCTGTCATTTTCTGTTCGACCCTGCTGATAGTTTGTTAGAAAACTGCAAACGTTTTGCTATCTGGGTACCAATTATCTCAGATTTCTCCTATACAATATCTCGTAAATTATTGGTTTTTATAATATTTTTACATTAATACTTTTATATGCAGAATGATTATAGGAATCGTTGTGTAAAAAAATATGATTCCATTTAAAAATGCAAAAATAACCATCACATCTTTTTGATGCCTCTAGAAAAAATTATGTAATCAAAGTATGTTCCCCCCTTCCGCCCGAATAGTTGCACTTTCAAAAACATTTCTTTTAATCTTTTATATTTTTCGAAATATTACGCGATGCCAAAAATGAGGCATGTCTTATACATATACGCGATACATATATGCGATCGCAGGTGTGTATAACAGTATAATTCTTTAAAAAAAATTACATTATAATAAATATATGTTGTTTGCAATCCTTAGCTCCTGTTATCTGTTGACGCACTATAATATATCTGTTTTGTCTTCTATGTACATT